ATAAGAGACAGGGTTCAGACCGCGCTGGCGGGGCAGCTCCGTGTGTCTGGGGGCCGCGGCACAAATGAGCTTTTATTTCTCTCGGCCTTTGCAGCGGCTGCCGCGGAGCCTCCTGAGAACGCAGAGCTCGCCCATCGCCGCGGGAGTCGGATCCCCCCGGCCCGGCTGCACAAGGCCCGCAGCGGCTGGAGGTTGAAGTCGGAGCGTCCCCGGGGCCGTGTGTCAGCCCGCTCGTGTCCTGCCCACGGACGGGCCCTCGTGGGGACCCCGAGGTCTGTGGGGACAGCGGAAGGGCCGGCAGTGCAGCACCCCAGGCTCCGCAGCTGCTTCTGCTGCCTTTGGGTGGCATCAGCAAAGAGGCAAATCTGGGTTTTGTTTTGTTTTGTTTTTATGGGGAGAGAGGATTCTGCCTTGTTCTGCGCCTGTAGAAGCTGCCTGGTTGATAACATGATCTGTTTTGGCAGCGGAATGCTGCTGGGATCCTGTCAGGGTGCAGCTATTGCTGCTATCCCATAGCTGGCACTCAGAGGTGCCTCTGCCAGGCATCCGAGGAGCAGGAATCCAGTCCTCTCCCGTGCACATCAGAATCAAAATTTTAAAAATTTAGGAAGTAGGAAAGAAGTGGTTCTTTGCCTTTGAGGGCTGAATCTTCTGGTTGAGATGTGTGTAATTTCTCTGTGGCCAAGTGACCACAGACTCTTCTAAAAAGAAAAAGATGAGAATTCCAGGTGACTCATGGACTTTAAAACCCCTTATAAAACATTGCAAACATCTCAATAAAATCATGGAATCTATGACAGTTCATTGTAGGCTTCCACTGTTGCTGTCACAACATAGTTCCAGGTGTAATATGCACATTTGGTGTGTGCAAAGAATGACTTTTATTTCTATGGATTTTGCAACAGAATCTGAAAATGAGGCTGGCCCTGTCCTGCTGCGTATCTTGCAAATAAGTGTGAATTCACTGTCAAAACACTGTTAACAATTCTGCTTTTGAGCTGTGAGCCAAGGCATAGGGCAGCCTGCTTTTCCGTGCCTAAGTGGGCTCAGCAGGGCTAACAGGAGTATCAAACACTCAGAAAATACTTTAATCAGCAAAGTCAACAGCTGTAATGTTGTGAGCCCCCCCACCCACCCTGGGGAGCGCAGCAGCAGGACAAGCAGGGCTCAGCTTTCAGACAGCTGCTTCTCTAGGTCGATTGCTTTTTCCTTCTGCAAGGTTCCCACTGGATTTGCTTGTTAGACAAATAGGGGCTTGACTCAGAATATCCACATTTGCTTTGGAGCAAATGACAAGTGGTCCCCAAGATGTTTCAGGCTGAATAGATTGCTTCATCTCGACTCTAAATGCATGAAGCTTCTTGTGTTTGCCTCCTTTTGGCAGAATTATCGCCGTGGTTTTCTGCAGCTGAGGTTTAAGAGCCCGTCCCAGCTGGGGGGTGCGGGAGGTGCAGCCGGGTGCCTCTGCCCGGGGTTTAGCTGCCAAACCCGTGAGGTGCAGTTTTACTTTCACTCAGCAGAGGGCCGAGTGCTGCCGCAGCTGCCAGCATCTCCCGGTGCTCTGGGAGAACACGGCCTGGGCGATCCATGAGTTACAGATATCCTGAGGCACCTGGATGCTGTTGACATTTAAGCAATTAAGAACAACTAAAAAGGGGATCAGACTGCTGTAATCCAGGAAAGTCACCTGAGGCCTGAAGCCCGCTGGAGCAGCACTGCTGACGCTGCTAGCTTTGCATCAAGTCTCCGTGGTTTAGAAGTGCTAAAAAAGCAAGACCCCCGAAAGCCAAGAAACCTTTGTATTTGAGATGAACCAGGCATGTGACCCCTCCTGAACCCCTGGCTTTGTGCAGGCAGTAAGATTCTTACAAGAAAGCTTTAGTGCAGGCCCTTTGAGGGTAATAAGAACCTTCCTAGGAAGAAGAAGGACAGATGACCATCTGCATGTTGCCTCTGAGTCAAGATCAAGGTTAGACAACTGCTGCTGCCACCACAAAACTGAGAGGGGCAGTGTGCCAGGAAGTTGAGAGGGCAAAACTCTAACTGCCCCTTCCAACCACAGTAAGCGTGGCACAGGTTAAGCTGTGGTGCAAGAGTTGGGGTGAGGTGGTAATTAGCAGGTGGATAGCAGAAACTTACTGACAGAGATAAAAGCCACTGCCCTGCTGATGCCTGGGACTCAAAGCATGCCTGCATTTGGCATCACAGCCTGGCTGCTGAAGAGCTCCCTCCCTGCAGTGGACCTACTCCCTTCCACACCTCTGCTATGGGCTCCTGCTGCCTCGCCTTATGGTGAGCCTTGTAACAGGGCAGCTGCTGAGTAAATCAGTTCACACCTTCTCTTGTGGGTGGCTGGCTTTCCAGTGGATCATCTGGCAAACCCAGCTGAGGAAAAAAATCCAAGGTATTTGCATCTGATTCTTCTCACTAACAGCAGCTCCTGCTAGAAGGGGTAAATGCAGCAAAGAACCATATTCTGTTTGTGCAGCACCAAGCCCAGACCCAGCACAGACCTGACCTGGCACAGGGGACGTGGATTTTAAGCTAACAGAGTCTAAACTGTGGTTCTGCTTCATGACTTTACTTGCAGGGAAAATGCTGGGTACCAGGACATGGCACACATGCTAAGTAACATTTAAACCGGTGCAAATTATCACTTAAAGATTTATTTACAAAAGATATGTAGGTTAAAATACCTGTGCAATATACAAGTGGCAGCTGCTGGTAGTCACTGGCAGCAGTTATTTTTGGTATCTGCAGTGATGAGGCATTTTGCATAGATGAGATATAGGGGAAGTTACAGTGTCAGCACTCATTGCTTAGGTTGACAGGTGCCAGGTGATACTCTGCAATCCATATGTATTTTTTACAGAGAGCCCAACTATCAAATAGCTGTAGGCTAATTAAAATAGATGTCCTGGCACTCGGATCTCCTGCTGGGTGCCTAAAGCTCTTTGAAAACCCTGCCCATAGTCTATCATGGTAGGACTCCCTAGGGTAAAACCCAAGTAGGCATCACACCTTGATGAACACCAAGAAGCAAAAAAAGAAGCAGGAGATAATCTTTATAACTACTAAACCTACCCACACATTCTTTATTATATTACATAGGCTATGCTCCTGTGTTCTGCCCATGGAGTTCAGTGCTATCTGCTGAGTTGACAGAGGAAAATCCTCCCTGTATATACTGGGGTAATGTCCTACACAAACTCTTCTGGGGAGATATCTTAAAGACTGAGGAACTGATTCACACTCTCCTGTGGGTCCCAAACCATTCTTGTTTGAGCTAAGAATAAGGACAACCTTCCAATATTTCCAACGTAATCCTGAGGATGTTGCTATGCTGCTGGAAAAATGCATGAATATCCAAAGATCCTTCTTCATCTCTTGTTGTAATTTCTTTGGAGCAAAGACTCCAGGAAATGAATCTGTGGGAAATACGACTTATAAATAGATTCCCAGACCCTGTATCTTGCTGCAGCCCAAATCCCTGCAGAATTCACATGGCTATCAGCAAGATGGAGTGGGAAGGGGATGTGACATATCCTACATGTCCTGTGGCATGTTGCAGCTGGAAGTGAAGGTTGTCAGCGTGTAGTGGGCACATTGATCTTGCTGGGGCACCCAGTGGGTGCTGTGTCCAGCCAGTTAGCGGGCAGATTCCCAAGCTGCAAGTCACAGGCTACATACATTTACAAAATCGGGACTAACATCAGTTCTGTAAAACTGGCTAGGTGAAAAAGGCTGGTAACAGGGACACTCTTGTAGGGGAATACTCTGTATCCTCACCCTTCTGAACTGGAGGTTACATTTTTATCAGCTCTCTTTAGAACAAAACAGGGAGGATGAAAGTATTACATTGTGGAACCATGAAACAGATGGGGCTACAGTATGTATCCAACTTGGAAAAGACTACATCTGATGTGGGAAGATCCAGAAAGAAAACAGAAGGTCTTTCCAAAGGTGGTCTCCTGAGGCATGAGTACACCAGCTTGGAGTTTGGGTTAAGGGAAAACCCCGCATGGGGAAGCCAGGGCTCTGGATTTCTCTGCTTTGCGTTTCCTCAGGCTCCAGCAGCGCTTGCACTGGATGGGGCAGTGAAGTAGGCTGCAGCTCCCTCTCCGGGAACACACTCACGCGAGCTGATGGGATGAGCCATCCTCCAGAGGCTCTGACTTCAGCACCGGAGCACAGAGCAGGCGGGGAGGGGAGGATCTGCTGACCCATGAGACTCCCCGCCAACGGCAGAGGCTGAAGCTCTGGCCCGCAGAGTGGGTGATCTCTGCCCAGGCTGTGCAGATCTGGTACGGCTCTCAAGAGATCCTGTTTGGCCATGTGGGAGGAAGGAAGTGAGGTACTGTGGTTTGGGGGAAAACAAAGTTTCACCAAGGAGAGCTGTGCTGTGGAGTGAGGTGGGGACAGGGAAAGCTGTGAATCTGGAGTCTTGGCCAGGGTGTTTGAAAAACATCTGTAGCAATTCATCACACAGCCCCTCTGAGCACCATGTGCAGGAGCGTTCTGCCTCTGGCTGCTGTGTTATTCTGCCAGTGTTTTTGGGGTTTTTTTTGACATGCTGCAGTAACAACAGGATCTTTCCTCCCATGTCCTGGTAGAAAATGATGTATTTAACACATGCAGGTCTCCATAAAACCAGGCCAGTAGTTTGTATGCCACATGGGAAGCAGTGGATTAATCCCCTGCCTGGGGAGTGAATGTGTTAAAGATCATCACATTAGCACATCTTCAAAATCCTGAACCCAAGCTGAGGTCTTGTTCAGGACAAATGAAAGCAATGTCCCTTGGAGCTGTCAGACAAGGAAAGAGTCTTGTCCAGTTGTTTGTAGAGAGTCCCCATACTGCTAAGGTATTTATGGGGCTGTTTTGCCCTCGAGGCTTCACACTAGCTGATTTACAGTCTGGGTAAAT